TTGAGGCCAGTTGTGGAGGGCAGCACACAGGGACACAGTGCTCAGAACATGGGGAAACTGACCATGGAGCTCTTGGCTCCTCCAATTGTCTCCTACCCAGGGCTCCCAGACCTCAGCCCAGCTCCATAGAGAGTGACATTACAGACTCAGGCAAGATCACTGCATGTTACCAGCACTAAAATATGAAGGAAAAGGCAGTCTTTTAAAAGCTGGGTATGTGGAGATAGAAGGATCAAAGTTCAAGGCCAGCCGTGGCAAAAAGTCAGTGAGACTCTACCTCAAAAACCAGACCAAGCTTCATGCCTGTAATTCTAGCTACTCAGGAGGGAGAGATCAGGAGGATTGCGGTTTGAAGTCAGCCCTGGGCAAATAGTTCACAAGATCCTATCTCGAAAAACCTATCACAAAAAGGACTGGTGAAGTGGCTCAAACAGTAAGAGCACCTGCCTAGTAAGCTGAGGCCCTGAATCCAAACCCCCATGCCATACACACACACACACAAAGCAGACCAAGCTGGGCAACTATGGCTCACACCTCTAATCATAGCTACACGGGAAGCTGAGTTCAGAAGGATCACCATTCTAGGCCAGCACCGGCAAAACATTTGGAAGACTATCTTGAAAATACCCAACATAAAAAAAGGGCAGAGTGATTCAAGCTGTAGAACGAGGCCATGAGTTCAAACCCCAGTATCACCAAAAAAAAAAAAAAAAAGAAAGAAAGAACCAGAGGAAAAAGGGCTAGAAGTGTGACTCAAATGGTAGCATGCCTGCCTAGCAACTATAAAGCTATGACTTAAACTCTAGTGCTGCAAATAAATAAAAAGTAGGCCAGCTACTCAGGAGATGGAGGTAGAAGGATCAAGGTCCAAGGCCAGCCTGAACAAAAAGCATAAAACCCTATCTGAAAAACAAAAAAGCAAAAGATCTGGAGTGTAGCTCCAATGGTAAAGCACCTGCCTAGCAACAAGCACAAGACCCTGAATTTAATCCCCAGTGCCAAGGAGAAAAAGAAAAAAAGCTGGATGTGATGGTCATAGACTCTGCTGCTCCTCCCATGAAAAGACAAAATTTTGCTGCTCAGTGCTGAGTGCTTACTAGGTGTGAGGACTCGAGGTTCCATAACAAAGACCAGGGGGACAAAACAAGAAGGCAAGAGACCAGAAGAAACACATGAGCTGGGCACTGGTGGATCACACCTGTAACCCTAGCTACTCAGGAGGGGAGAGATCAGGAGGATCAAGGTTTGAAGCCAGCCTGAGGCAAATAGTTCACAAGACCCTAACTTGAAATACCCAATAAAAAACAACTGGCTTAATGGCTCAAGTGGTAGAGTGCCTGCCTAGCAAGTCTAGCAAGCATGAGGCCATGAGTTCAAGCCCCAGTACCACACACAAAAAAAAAAGACATGAATACACATGCACACTCCCTGTGTCCTGTGCCACCTTGGGACTCTGACAAGAAGGATATTACCAGGACTGGCATGTGGCTCAGTGGTAAGTGCTTGCCTAGCAAGACCTGGGTTCCATCCCCTGCACCACAAAAAGAAGAATAAATAAAAAGGACTAATATAACACCAGCAAATTTCTGGTTCTCAGAGCTGCCAGCAGGATTCATTTCTTGTGGCTGAAGAACTCAAGGCATCTGGTGTCTCAAAGTCAGCAGGAGATATAGCAGAATAGCAGACACCAGTTGTCTGTTGGAGTGTCCATCACCTCTGCCACATTCCAGTGGCTCTGAGGCAGACAAAAATAAGGAAAGTTCAGATTGATCAAGCTCAGGCTCAGGGACATCCTTCACCTGGCTCAGGAACCACCCATGCTCCTCCCCACTCATTATTGGATGGGAATTCACCTGGTTCCTCCCTTCCCATAGATTAATGTAAGTTTTAAAAGCATGTGGAGAAAAGAAGCACACTCTCTGCTTCCCAGCTTCCACCTGTATTTACCTTCCCTAACTTTTAATAAACCCCAATCACACCCACATGTTCTGCTTGGATTCCTCCACAGCAGAGCACAAGGACTGAAATCTTCTAGAAATACCTTTTGCCATTAACAGCTGGATGCAGGTCAGAGGCTGTGTGTGCTCCTGGGGGGAGGCATCCAGAAGGGGACAACCATCAGGAAATGAGTCATGGGGGCCTTTCCAGGTCTGTCCACAAGCCACATCCACCTAACGCCTGACCTGTCACCCTGAGTTTATGGATGACCTTGAGAGTGTTTCTCAAAATATCCTTCTAAGAATTGTCCTTGAAGTTTTGTCTATAGTGACAGCAAGAAGCTGATAACCAAGACAGGTGCTGGATTGATTATCTCCAGGTAACCTCCCACAGGGACACAGCAACCTGGACATGGGGATATCCTCTGGCATACAGCAGACAGCACCAAGGTCCATCAGCATGGAAGAGCCACAGAGATGCTTCAGGAAGGAGAGCAAAGCTGGTCAGGATGCAGTGTTCCCTGCACTCCAATTTGCCCAACATTTATGGACACGTGGGTTTGAGCCAGTGAAAAATTTCACTGTCTTTCCTGGCAGGAGGTCTTACACACCCTCTGGGGGACCAGTCACGGGAGGGTGACCAATGGTGGGATAGAGGTATGGCATCCAGCTGCCAGACCCTTGATCCTGATTCCCAACTTCTTGGCTGGGGACTGTCACCTGCTATGCCTCAGTTTCCTCTCATGCCATGGGGAAGGCTGCAATTGCTGCATGAAGCTGTGGGCCCCAGCACTCCTGGGTCCAGAACCCATTTGGGGAAAGCAATGTGGAAAGAGCTTGAAAGCCAAGTTCACTCTCTGCACACCTAAAGCCTCTCACATGCCCTCCTAAGATTGTGAAGGAAGTGCATCCACAAACCACTAAATGTGCTTCCTCTTGCATGCATGTGACCGCCTACAATGCTCTCACCAGTGGACATCAGTTCGCTCAGATCCCTTACATGGAGAGAGATTTACAAAGGCAAGGATGGGAGAAGGGACATCAACATGAGAGTGGAAACACCAAGGTCAGCAAGAGTAGGAGCTCAACCTCCCTCAGCCTAAAGGGGCAGAATGCAGGAGACCCAGATGATGGGGCCACTGGAGAAAGACAGTTGCCTTCCACAGGGAGGGACCCAGGCCCACCCTCTCTCTTCAGGTACAAGTCCCCATAGGGCCTGCTGGAAGCCCAGGGTTCTGTGTACACTAACCCCAGTGGATCTGGAGGAAACAGCAAGACAGGATAGTTACTCTTGTTCCCCAAGCGTTTCCACCAGGACCAGTGGCCATAGGAAAGTCCTGGGGATGCCCCAGCTGCCCACTGGGCCCTTGTCCTCCATCATTGAAGTTTGCTTTCCCTTTGTTCATTCCCTGAACCACTCCTGGGACCCTAATGGATGTGTCCAGTGGGAGGAGACCCCATGCTCTCCTCTGGATGACCACTGGCAGCAGGAAATCAGACTCAGGCATAAATCCACATTGGAGTGAGGTGTCCTGCAGAGGTCTTTGTATGAACAAAACAAATGGGGGGATGGTTGTTAGTAGAGAGTGGATGGCCTCATGTGTGGGGCAGCAGCATAACTCAGCCTTCAATGTGGAGGCAAGAGGAAAGCAGAATGGTGCTGCTCAGGTGTCGCCAGGTCCAAGGGGGATTTTGGGGGTCTTGGAGTTAGGGAGGAAGGGAGAGAATTGGCATCTCCCTTGGAGTGGGACAGCTGAGGATCAGATCTCCAACTCTAAGGGCTAGCAGACCAGCTGTGCCACTCCACATGATCTTGGGCAGGGGGCACTGCCCTGTCTTGGTTTCCACATCTACGAAGCATGGAGCAATAATGACTTCTACCATTCATCCATCCCCAAGCTCTTTAGCAGAAGCAGAATGGGCAAACAGGTTCGAGCCTCTGAGGAGAGACATGGAGCATTAAGAAATGATTACAGAATGTGACTTCAATTTAGGGACTGATGGGAGGCTTGTGATAAGGGTTTCAGGTGGGGCTTTGGAGGAACAGGTGTTGGGGACAAGGGCCCATGGGGAAATGGGTGTATATGGAGCAGAGTGGGAGCACAGCCACAGTTTGGAGTCTATGCTGAAGCACTAGAGAGCCCTAGGGCATTCAGCCCAGGATCTGATGGAAGCTAAGAGTGCCCCTGACTGCTGAGTATGGGGTGGTAGCAGAGATGGTGGAAGGGAATATGGGGGTAGGAAGGCCACTGTTTGGGAGAGGGAGGCATATCACAGCAGAGCTGTGGGAGCTCCATCTGCATCCCTACAAGATTTGTCATTCCTGAATGTGCAAATGCAAACATGCGCATGCACCCACATGCAAGCGTCCACCAGTGAGCTTGGGCTGCTGACAAGGTGTCCAGGCTGAGTGGCTCAAAAACATTTATTTTGGTTCTGAAGGTCAGAAGTTTGAGGCCAAGGTGTAGGCAGGGCTGGTCCTTCCAAGGCCACTAGGGAGACTCCTACCTAGGCCTGTCCCCACCACCTGCAGGTGACCAGTGATCCTTGGTGTCCTTGGCCTACAGAAGCATCACCCCATCTCTGCCTCCATCTTCACAGGGCCTCCTTCTTGTGCACATGTCTGTGTCCAAACCTTACCTTTTGTATGGACACTGGTCACACTGGATGTCCCAGGCCCCACCCTAGTGACTTTAGCTAAACTAATTTCATCTACAGAGACCCCATTTCCAAGTAAGGTCACCCTGACTGATTTCAGCATGTGATTGAGGGACACGATGCAGCCCATATCATCTGCTTTGGGGCTGTTTCTCCATGGTCTGAACTCATTCCCAAAGAGCAACAGTGGAGCAAGACCTGCCTGCTCTTTTGGTCCTTCTGGTAACTAATAGGAACAATCCTCACAACTCCAGGCATCCCTCCTCCTGGCCATCTTCTTGTTCCAGCTCTGTTTTTTGTGGGTTTTTTTTGTAGTACTGGGGCTTGAACTCAAGACTGACACCTCAAGCCAATCCACCAGCCCTTTTTTGTAATGGGTTTTTTGAGATAGGGTCTCTTGAACTATTTTCCCAGGCTGGAATCAAACTGCAATCCACCTGATCTCTGCCTCCTGAGTAGCTAGGATTACTGGTGTGAGCCACTGGCATTATTCCAGCTCTGTAACAGTCACTTTTTCTCTATTGTCCACAAGATTCTTTGCGCCAGTGGAACATGGAGAAAATAAGCCAATTTAAAAAGCAAGCATGAAGGGAAACTTCATGGATGGATGAAGTGTGGGAAAGGCTGTCAGGTACATATCTGGACCCTAAGCATTTGAAGATCCAGTCTCTGGATCCTTCAGGCGGAATCCTTGGTGGAACGCCCATCAGGGAAGTTGTCTGAGGGACATGAAAGGGGGCATGGCAAGGCCACTTTGATGAGCAGACACAGGCTAGCTAGGTACATCCTGGCCATGTGCTCTGGAATCCTTTGATGGATGGGACAGACCTGGGGATGGGGAAAGACATACAACACACACACTCATGCTCATGCACCACAAATGCAATTCCCTGCTTGGACTGATGCAGAAAGAGGATTTATTTCCCGAATATTCTCACATAACAAAACCCACCCCATGTGAAGATGCATATGCAGGAGATGGATGGGTGCTGCTGGTGCCCAAAGGCTCTTCCCCTACAACTAGCTTACTGCAGTGAAGTCAGGTCTCAGATGCAGGGCAACAACTCTGTGGCAGAAGCTCACTAGATACCATCTGATGCCAGCACTTGCAGTCTAGTTTCGACCACAGCGCCTCGGGGTATACTGGGGTGGAGAACATAGGCCTAGTGCCTGGGTGTTTTCGCAGGAGGCCAGGCCTTGGCCCTGGCTGGGTCAGGGGGTGCAACTAGAAGCTGAGGGAAGTGGCCTAGGTGTCATAAAGGTTTGGCCAACAGTGCAGAAGGGTCACCAAGAAAGAGGATTTGGCCCAATATAATCAAAGGTGCTGTGAACACTCCTGCAACATATATATCAGCTCTTCTGATGAGGACAAGATTGTCCAGGAGTCAGAAGGATGGGGAGAAGAAAGTAGTGTCAGTTGCTAGATTCCTAAGGCACAGAGCTGTCCTGGGCAGGGTGCCTCCTCAAAGCCAGGCCCTGCTGCCTACAGATGCACACCTGGAGAGGTCCTTGGTCCTGGCTTCTAGTTCTGGCCACCTTCCAGGCTGGTGACTGAGGCACAGCTTTCCTTCCCCCAGGGAATGCAGACAGAAGTCTTGCCCAAGGCCCCTGATTCAAGGAGGGGAAGGCCATCTGCCCTAACCACATGGGACAATGGACTTCTAGGGTCCCTGTTCAAGGGGAAGAGTGTGGGGAGGAAGGCTGGATAGACAGACAGACAGGGAGAAGCACAGGTCCCTGGTGAGTAGGGGCCTCATCCACACAGGTGGGTGCCGGCTGCAGCTGTGCTAGAACTCAGAAGGACAACATGGAGGACATGGCTCAGCCTTAAGTCCTGAGGCTGCCACATGGGACCTGAAACCTGGCCCTTGAGACCTTTTCCTGGCAGGCCAAGGGTGCCTGCGAAGTGGGTAGATGGTGAGACATGGAGCCTGGGCCCAGGACCACTGCATGAATAGAGGAATGGGGTGGCCAACCTATTGCAGCCTTCTCCCTGGGTTTCTGCGGGTTGGCCCTACATGACCTGGAGACAAGGGCCATGGCTGATGAACAATGGGTGTCAAGTGGGCGCATACTTTTAGGAGCAAGAGAGTCCTTATGCTGGACAATAGGCCAACGTCTGTTTGGCAGTGCTTGTGAGGGGGCTCAACGCAGGAGTGAGATGAACACAGGTCCACAGACTGTGGCAGGGCGAGTATTCAGGCTCATGGGTCCAAGGGCGGCAGCAGTTAGTGGATGTGGGGAAGGAGGGTAGATGGGTGGCAGTGCCACCTGCTTCCTCTAAGGCCACTGGCTGCCACTGGCTGGGTAGTTGGGAACAGTGGGGTACTCAGGCAAGCTGTTCCCTGAGAAGTTGTTATACTGAGCCTCCCTTGATGGTGGGTTTCGCCACACACCTGTGCTCCACTCTGTCTGTGCCTTCTGGAAGCTTCCACCAGCCCCATGGTAGATCCTGTGTACCTGCAGGGTGGGAGGACAGTGGACAGAAGACAGAAAGATCAGCAGTTTTGTGCATGTGGCAGGGACTCACCATAGCAGAGGAAGGCTTCCCTATTCCTCCTTGTAAGTGTCCACATGGCCTCACAGTGACAACAGAGCAGTGGTCTCGCTCCACGCTGCAATGGTCCAGAGAGAAGAAACCAGTGGCTTGCAGCTGGCAGTGACACTAGCTAATCACAAATGCTCCAGTAGGAATTTTTTAGAAGATGCAGGAGGGGAAAGAGGGAGAGTGGTTAAGAAGAGTAAGGTAGATGGGGTGAGTCTGATCAAAGTATATTATATACTTGCTACAAATACCACAGTGAAACTCCTTTGTACCATTAATTTTTGCTAATATATTTTTAAGGCAGAGAAGCCAGAGTGGGACTTGGAAGCCTTTTGTGTCTGTCAAGTCCCAGGCTTTGGTACAGGTTTCGCTTTTGGGGCGTGGGCTCGTTCCTTAGGCAGGTATTAGGGCACATTCCTGTTGAGAACCATCCCAATACTTTTCCTCTGTCACCACCAAGCCACCACCACATTCAGGCTCTGTCGTAAGGTGGTAGGTAGCCACATGCCAGGGCTCTGTAGAGCAAGAGCCTGGGCCATGACCCTCACCTTGCACTACAAGTCTCACAGGGTGGCTCTAGGCACTTTGGGGAGAGTGGTACCCTGAAAAAGGCCCAGCACAGGAAGTAAGTGATATGCTCCTATGACACACTGGCTGCCTAACTCGGAAGCATCAGGCTGTGGGTTCCACTTGTCTCTGGGCAAAGCTGTGACAATCTACTGGAGACATTGGGCTCCTCACTGACCAGAGGCTATGTCAGGCTATCCCCTGGCCATGCCTCTGGGAACCCTGTGCTTTACATTTCTAGAAACAGTAATTTCAATAATGAAAAAAACAACTTTTGAGGCTGAGGTGTGGCTCAGTGGTAGAGTGCTTGCCTAGCATGTATCAAGCCCTGGGTTTGTCCCCAGCACTGCAAAAAAACAGAATTTTTGTTGTTTTAACTTAACATTCTTAGGTATCAGCCCAGTTGCACACTTGTTACCTTCCAGTGGGATGTGCCCTCTCTTTCTATGGAACAGCCTAAGGATCAGCTTCTGTCTTTGAGTGGGAGGGTGCAGCACAAAGCCCCCACAGGCATAAGGCCACATCCTGAGAAGGTGGCTGCCACGCTGGCCCTGGCCCTCCGGGCATCTGGGGACCTGGCCTGGGAGGGGGACACCCTCCCTGGCAGGAGGGGCTCCTTGGCCTAAACCACTAAACAATGCTGTTTACTCAGTCCCACTCTCCTTCAGAGTTTGGGATGTTGGCACGTGCCAGACAAAAGGGCCACATGTTCCCCTAAAAACCCTGGGCATGTGGTCTGTATGCGCTCCTGGTGGCAGTATTCCACATATCTCACAGCTTTCTGTTAAGGACAAAGCACATTCTGAGTGACCCTCAGGGAAAGGATTCTGGAAGCCCTGTCTGGTCTTCTAGACTTCACATACCTGGGATGGTGAGAAGAGAACAGTGAGGGCTGGGTATCACAGGACCCTAGGCCTTACCTTCATGATCGCAATTGCCATCATGGCGGCTGATAAGGAGAACATGATAGCTGGAATCAGCATGACCACAGCAGCCCCAACACTGGTCTGGAAGTACCTGACTGCTGCCAGCCAGCCACTGCAGGGGCAAGAGAGAAAGAGTGGACTCATGTAGCAGGAAGGAGGGCCAGAAAAGAAGCAAACAAGTCTGTGTTCTGATAATGTAACAGGGAGGAAGGAGTGACATAAAAGGGAGATAAACTTAAAAAATCTTAACACAAAAAAGGTCACACAACACTGGGGACAAAATAGCCAATAAAGCTACATACAACCATGTATGGGTTAAACCTTGCTTCTTGCTTTTGTAACCTGCTTGCAAAGGTATATAAGGTGAGGCCCCTTTGTTCTTGGGGCTCAGCCTTTGGATGTGAATCCACTGAGCTGCTGTCAGCATGCTAATAAATATTGCTTCTCGAAAAGTGTTAGTGTCCCGTTTCCCTGTTTAAATATCTCGAAACACTCTAGCACACCCACCAGATAAGGAACAGCTGTCCTTCCTATGCAAAGAACTCTGACAAATCAACAAGAAAACGGTAACTCTTTGAAGAATGGGCAGTCATTCAAGGACTACCAGATGACCTAAAACCACAGAAAATGATGCTGGAACCATCAATGAACGTGTAAGTCAGAACAGGTTGTCCACTTCCTACTGCCATGCTAGAGCAGTTTTTGTTTGTTTGTTTGTTTTTGTTTTTTCATAATGAAAAAGTTTTTAAGAACAAAAATAGTTTAACAAGTTTCACCTAGCAAAATACACGCCAAAGGAAATAATAGTACAAGACAGCTTTACATTAAGGCTTCACCAAGTCCAACAGTGTTCATATTGGGTCTTAATTCTCAAAATTAACTATTAAAAAGATTAATCTTAACCTAAAAGATTTAAATGAAATCTTTAAATGAAAATATAAACTAGAATGAATAAACATGAGAAATCAGAATTACGGACATAGCACCTTGGAGTTCTCCAAAGAAGTTATCTCTCCACTGTTCTCACTGTGATATGTGTGGTGATCCACATTTTGGATCAGGTGTGGTGGCACACACTTGTAATCCCAGGGACTCAGGAGGCAGAGGTGGGAGGCTCACCATCCCAGCTTGGCTCAGGATAATGTGTGAGACCCTATCTCAAAACAAACTAAATCAAGAACTGGGGGCATGGTTCAAGTGGTAGAACACTTGTATAGCATATACAAGGCCATGGGTTCAATACTCAGTACCACATCTAAAAAAAAAAAAAACTAGCTGGGCACTGATGACTCACGCCTATAATCCTAGCTACTCAGGAGGACCTTGGTTTGAAACCAGGTCAGGCAAACACCACTTTGTATGATCTTATCACAAAAAAACCTATCACAAAAAAGGTTGGTGGAGTGGCTCAAGTTGTAGTTCCTGAGTTTAAGCACCAGTACCTCAAAAAAAAAAAAAAAAACTTGCTGTATCCCTAGAACTCACCATCCTCCTGCCTCAGCATCCTGAGTGCTGGGACTACATGTGTGCACCACCTCACCTGGCAAACATGCACATTTAACATACTTAAACTAGTTTTACTCAGACAACACCACTCTGCCATAAGCTACCAAAACAGGAAGTGAAGAAAGCCATTTTAGTTTGCCCAGTATACAGGCCAGAAGGAAAGTATGCATGAGAAAGCACTGAAATGGTAATTTTTTAATGCAGATCTGACACAAACTCCGTTACAAAATGCACCCCATGCTTCCCCTACTTACAAATTGCTCTCCCCTGCCTGTGGAAACATGACTGAAGTAGCTATCACACTCACCCATGCTGCTCTGACCACTGAGGCCAGCATGTAAACAGCCATCCACAGGCCTGCACTGCCAACCTCAGGAAGAGCTGCGGGGGCCTGCACTGCAAGCTGGTCCTGTCTTTGACAGAGCCCATCACAGCTTCTTTGTGGGTGGCACTCATCAGCTTTGCCCATCCCCCTTTTGTCAGGGCCTATCTCCATATGAGCTCTCACGGGGCTAAGGGGAGGGAAGCTCAGTCCTTCTAGGGCACCCCCTCATATGGACACAGTGGCCAGTGACTCTCTGTGTTGGAGCACGCCAACACAGCAGTTGGGGGTGTGGTGAAGCTGAGGCCATTTGACCTCATGTAGTCCCACAGATTGCGTGTAGGCATCTGACCTCTTTTCTCCAGGCCTGCCTGCCTCTTGATGTCAAGGCACCTCTAGGCTCTTGCCAGTTTGCCATACATAAACTTTAGAGGTGGGCTCCAGCTGTCCTGCCTACTCTAATCTCTTGGCCACACTTGTGGCCTATTCTCTTCAGTGCTTCATTGGGCCTTCACAGTGAACTCCTGCAGTCACAAAGACTGAGCTTTGAGTGCACAAAAGCTCACTGACATAAGCACTGCCTTGCTAGTCAGTCACCATGGTGGAGGGTGGAGCAGCACTAGCTATGATAGAAGTGAACTCTCATTCCTCTTCCCCTGTAGACTCTACTGTTGCAGGATATTCATGCAGGAAAACGGGACACCAAGGCTTTTTGGGAAGCAATGTTTATTAGCATGCTGGCAGCGACTTAGCGGATTCACATCCAAAGGCTGAGCCACAAAGGGGCCTTGCTTATATACCCTTGCAAGCAGGTTTCAGAAACAAGAAACAAAGTCTAACTCATATATGGTTATTTGTAATTTTGTTGGCTACTCCATCCTCGGTACTACATGAGTGTTTTCAGGTTCAATTTAAGTTTCTGTTTCCTGCCATACTGTCCCCTCCTCCCTACTACATAATTCCCTCCTTAGATGCTCAGATCCATCTAGATTCAAAGAGCATCATCCTGATTTAGAGGTTTGTATTTCCACAGCATCACTACATGGGCGGCTGTTTTCCTTTCTATAGTGGCCTCCATAATGGTCCTGATAGACCACAATACCAAGGGAGCGAGGCAGTGTAGTATTAAACATGTTCCCAAGACAAGACCCACCGCCCCTCTCAGGGTCTTGAACCTGCCCAAGGCAGGGAACCAACCTCCAAAACAGATCATCAGGATTCCACCCTCTCCAAGTCTGTTAGGGGACATGGACAATCTTCCCCATTCTGTCTGTGATTTCTTCTATGACCTTTTCTTCATCACCAATTTGTAAACAGCAGTTACTTAGACTGAATTTTCCACATACACCTCCTTCAGAGGCAAGTAGATAGTCTAAGGCTGGGCGGTTTTGGTACATTCCATTACGTACTTTTGTGTGCTGCTTGGCCAGTTATGTCAAGGGCTCTGGTAGTTCCACTAGTTATAATTTCAACTACCACCTGGAGCCAAATAATGAGGTGTAGCACATAAAACAGGGTGCAAAAGCCCCAACCAAGATCCATCTTATGCCCAAGTGGCAGGATCATAATACTGAATGATTCCCTTGGGAGGCCACTCATCATCTTTCTAGTTTCCAATTTGTAAGTTACCCCATCTCTTTCTGCATGCTCTTTTCTCATATATGGAAACTCCAAATTTTTCCCCTTGTGTGAGGGGGAGCAAGAAAAACGATGGCCAGATTGTGCCCAGTACACAGGACCTGAACCACCTTCTGGGTAGCACCATATAAGCTTGCTTCCCATAGATCAAATATAGTCCCCTGGGCACCTGTCAATCTATGTTTGCGGTGAAACTATTCCAAGCTTCTTGGAGAACACAGAAGTTAGCCAACGGGTCAGGATGTGGTTCCATGTGGTTTGGAGTTCCCCACCATTGGGTTTCTTGGGTGGTGTCATGGTAATACTTCTACCCTAAACAAGTTAAATCCCCTACCAGTGTGGAGAACTGGCCTTTTGTGCGGGAGATACAGTAATTCCCAATGATAGACATTTTTCAGGAGCCAAATGCTTTTCCTGTGATTGGGGAAGGCAGTCTCATTAAAGGGCTCCTGTGGGTCCAGCTCCTTAGCTTCCCATGGCCAGTGGCCTCCCAGACTAGTTCCTCCACAAACATAACAAGAGGTGACATTTAGTGTCTGGGCTATGGACTTGGCTAGTGAGAGGAACAGGTTTTTGGTCCTAACAGAAACAGGAAACTCATTCTGCATCTCCTCATAGAAAGGATGAAAGACTTGGTGTGAAGAACTCTCATGGGTGATTGTGATGAGCTTGGAGTGTAGCAACATACCGGGATCAGACCCCTTTCCATTTATCATTATACCAACTGTATGTCCCTGTCCCCAATCTAAGGGCTTAAGTATTGTAAAATTTACAGGTTTAAGGTGCCAAGGGTACAATCAGGGGTAGTCATGCCCTTGCAAAGGAGGGCTGAGTGTTCTGCCATCTGCCAGGTAGCCCATGAAACACAGCTCCAGTAAGGGCAATAATGCCAGCCCGCATCATCACAGGACAGGACCAGCCACCCTGGCACATATACTTATCATTTGACATGGAGGCTCTCTCCCAGGTTGGGTCTCCACATCCCCCCACTATCTTGGCCTATGGCCAAACATATGTCAAAAAACACCAACACTGGCTTATTAGGGTTGAACACCTGTGGACAGTTAATGCCATCCCTAAATTCCCCGCCCCCCATAGCACCATCACATCTCCAGGCCTCCGACCATTGCTCCTGAGGGCAGCAGGTGGGGTTGAAGCGGATATGCTGATTACCATGGGAGCACACCGAATAGATGGTATGGTTGTAGGTGCATGACCCAATGACAGTGCCTGCATAAGAGTAGTCGGTGTGAAAAAGCAAAGTCCTGGTGACATTTCCTGCCCGGGTAGTAAGTATACATAACTCACAGTTTGAGGTTTGAGGCTCTCTGAGCAGAAAACTAATTAAGTTTAACAAGAGGAAAACACAGAAAGGACCCATCGTTTAGGAGAGGGAGGCGATTCCTCAATCTTCCACCGTGCGTAGATTAGTGATCTTCCGGAGTGACTACAGCAAGGCTGCCTGGAAGTAGCTGAAGATTCTGAAGGGTCCTGCTGAGGAAGGGCGTGGGTGTTCCACAGGGTGATCTTGCACAGTGAGATTGGGACAGGGACACACTCCTACTTGAGAAAGGATGGCTTCAGCCAGCTGTGATGGATCCAGGGAGCAATTTCTGCTACCTTAACAGTGGTGGGGGTAGACAAGA